GGCAAGTAGTGCTGATTGTGGGTGTACTCTTACGGTGAGTCCGGCCCGTGTAAATCTGCGCACTGGTAACTCACCACCATGACTCCTCGTCAGCTTTCACATATTTCATCCCATCACTGGAGTCCTGAATGCTGTGTTAGTTCACACTGGCACATCCTCGGACTTCTTGACTGATGGGGACAACCTTGCCAGTGAACTCTTCTGCATTTGACGTCGTGCAAGTCGTTCATATAGGATTTTCTTCTTATGCCATTTCATTTGGCCACTGACAGTCCTAGTGTGCCTTCAAGACAAACAACACAAGACGATGTCCTGAGAGCTTTGGAGATGAGTGGCGCCACGAAGTGTACTGTGTGTGTGGGCTCTATAGGTGCGTCGCAGTCATGTATAATGACTGGGTTGACAGTCATTGGAATATTCTAGGTTTCTGTTGTGTGGCCACCTAAGACGGTGTTTATGTTGGCCACAGTGGAGTCATCTCGTGGGTTTTTAAGCCATTCGCGATCGACAGCGGCGTTTGAATCCCAACATCTCCCTGCGTACAGTACCAGCTCAATGTGGTCTAAGCCTGCTGCTCCCAGCATTTCCCTCGCTGTGGCGCACCCAGCCGATACTTGTTCCGCATCCGCCAAAGAAGGATGTGCTGCTCAAGCCCTGTCCCCAGGGCATATTCCAGTGGCGCCGTTTCAAATTGACCATTGTGTGCCAGCGGCCACGGCTCCATCCTCCGACTCTAAGCCCGGGCTGGATGTGGAATGTGTCCGGCATACCATTCTCTCCGCACTTCAAGAGATGGGATTATCTGTCTCAGCTGCCAGTGACACCAAGTTCCTGCTTGATGTGGCGCTTAGCAAGGTTGGTTGGTTGTAATACTTATGTGGATAAGGCCCGGAGCTTGGCAGGGGTGCTTTTGGCGCGCTGAGCAGCGCTGGAATGGCCATGCCAGCTTATGAGGGGAGCAGAGGGATTGGCTGGCCTGTTGATGATGTCCGCACCAATGAAAACCAGGGCTAGGGGGGATTTGCGGGTGGGGGGTGTATCGATTGGTGGTTGGAGAAGACATGACGTGAATGGATTGGTGTTTGTCGGCGGCCTTGTCTGAGATCACTAGTATCAGTTAGCATACCATAATACACCACCTGTTTAGCCCACAAAACACTCTGAGTTATCAGTGGCAACCTGCCGGGGTGCCATTGACAAGGCTCAGTATTTTCAGAATATGCACTGAGGTGAATAATTGTTAGGGAGAGGGGGTGAATAAAGTCGAACTATAAGGCAAAATTTGTACCAAGTCCAAAATGCAGGGGGTCAATAAAGGTAAATAATACAATGTAGGCTATTCAGACTAAGTCTCCCAGAGTCACACCATGTGATGGGTGACACAGCATCCCAAAAAGGAACTTTGTTGATAGATGTTGAGTTGGTAGTTTTAGTGACTATGTCATATGGTTATAATATAGAGCAATATATATGATAAATTTCCAAAAAAAAAAAGGAAATTTCCATAATCATTAAAGAATGTCACAAATCGTCACAAAATGACAGTTCTCTATTTTGACTACACAGACAACTTTTATCAAGTAATGTATAGTGGCAGCTCTATAGCAGTATTGGAACTGTCTAATCACTAGCCGATGTCCAACTAATAAGCTTCTATCTCTATAACCACTTGATCTGTATCCATGATGTGAGTACCACCAGGAAGGCCTTTCAGAGTATCATTACCTCAATATGGTATTTTAATCACCATCATATAATATATATATATATCCACTCTACCCACTATTCACACAAAGGAGGATATTTGGGTGCTCAAAGAGGTGCAAACAAGACCGCCTTGTGTTGCCTTTCAAGGAGTGGTAAACAAAGAGAGTAGGCATGTGGTCATGCATTGGGCACAACCCAAAGTGTGACAATGCCCCCCATTCAAGGGCAGCGTCTCAATATGTACCATGTGAGCACGTCAGAGGTGTGTCTGACTGGCGCCCCTGGGATGCTCTGACCCATCCTGACTATTGCCCGCAGCCTCTTTCACCTGCATAATCACCAATCTGTCATGACCCTCACAACAATCACCTTGGGACAGAGCCTGTGACACTGCTCAGGCTTTTTGTGCTCTAGGTCAGCAGGTGCATACAACCAGTATACAGTTGGCACCCTAGCAGGTGGACCCTTACAAATTTGTGTATTACTTATCAGCTCAAGTTCAAGTTAACAGGACCACATCAACAAAGACTTCTCATATACTATGCTATCCAACGAATCTTTGGAAAAACCTTTTGTGGATCTGAACATCTTGCTCTCCATGCTGCATGAGATTCCTTACTCTCTAGACCCCGGTGTGTTTTGACCACATAAACATAGTTCTCCCAAGCCTCCTCCTCTTCCTCTTGAGGGATCCTGCCAAAAGGATATTGATGTGCCAGGTCATCTGTCCAGCCATTCTCATGAGATATGAAATAATCATCAAGATAAGGGGTTGTAATCGAAATTTCAGTGATAGGAGGTAAGCTATCACCTAAGGAGATTGTTTCAACATTGCCTAGTCAAAGAAGATAACATACGTGGAGCATGCTGGGGCAAATTAACTACTTGACGACATACAACACACCGTTCATTCATGGCAGGGATATCCTCTGTGATCATTTCTGTGTGTCTAAAATCGGGAGCAATATAGAGTTCCTCCCGATGATATGTGGGGCACTGATGAACAGGATGTCCATCATCAACCCATGCATGATGGGAGAATACAAATGTGTCATGAGATATATTCTGTCGGAATCGAGATATCTGTGCATGTAAGCCATTTTTTATATCTTCAAAAGACCACGATGGTTGGGTACAAGCCCATTCAATGGTTCTCCTGAGACCCGCACGGGGAAGTAGCCTGCTTGGTGGAAATCTGGGCTTGAATAATTTCTTTGAAAAAAGGTAGCCTTGGAAGTACTCGAATCGGATACCATCCTTTGCCATGCAGTCACCTGAGATATGTAGGTGTGGCTACTGCTGAATTACCAAGCACATACCATATACTTCAGCATGTGCTTGTTGAAAAACCTAAATGTTTCCTCAATAACTTTTACATCAAGACTTGCAATATTCTTACTCGATACATCAAGGAGTCAAAGATAATGATTTCAGGTTTGCGTCTGATTGTTGCAGCTCTACGCCGAAACCAGAAATCATGACGCTCAGTAGCTCCTGCTGTCAATGACAGTCTGATATTGCCAAAGACATCCAATAAGACATCAATGTTCTAAAGTGATTGAATGTATGAAATACAAGGACTGAAGGAATAGACTTACTGCTGGGCACAGAGCTATAAAAATAGAAGGTTTACTATATAAATATTGAACAGCAGACTGGTAGATCATCACTCAAAAGATCAGCATTGTTTTTGCTAAATGTACCTACCAGCATATCAAGGGCCTGAGAAAATAAAGCATCAGCTAAGTACGATGGAAATACTGGAATCATACCAGGGTGCAGCAAGCAATTAGTGTCTTTCCAAGATCCCCGCGCAGGAATTGTGTAACTTTATGAACAGCATTCGTTCTAAGATCTAGGAATAGATCAGTACTTCATTTCAGCTTTTTGTGCAGGCAACTGGGACCTCCTTGATAAATCACGAATGGCATGGAGGAATTCTTCTTCGAGGCTGCGATGATACGCAGATGGTTGGGATGGCTGATAGCGTCAGTACTGATATTATATTCGGAGCAAGCGGCGTACAAGAGATCTGCATTGAGTTCGATGTCCCGGTCCCTGCGCTAGAACACAGCTCAACGTGTGTCAATAACCGTATGGGAGCTAGACACACCTTCACCGCAGCGCGACGTGGACCTTCGAACACCCTTATGACGACAGCATGTCCATCAAAATGTGCCCAATGCAAGCGCGTCCGCTTCCGAACGATTATCTCTCTGAACAGCTCGACGCGGGACTGTTCGACTTCCTAGACGGCGAATATGTGATGAGCTAGTAGGCGACACAAAGGAGCCGCATACCTCGATATTAAACTTCTTGTCTGCATGAACATAGATCAACTAGATAATGGACGCAGGCAGCAGCACGCACCGATCTTGGGCTTGCGCAGCGGTATCGTAAAGAAGGTGCGATTGTCGACGATGAACGTCCCGCCCTGGACGACGGTGTTCTTGCTTTTCGCGAAGAATGAGCTCTTGAGGCCGCTGCTGGGCGTGCGTCAGGGAAATCAGCCCGCATCCGTGTTATCGAGGTTCGACGTACAAGAACGAACGCCGGACGACGACCTCCGCCGGCGCCGGCTCGCCCGGGTCGTGCACTTGCACTTGCTTGGGGTCGCTGGTGGTAGAAGACATTGCTAGTGAAGATCTTGCTAGTGCGCAGGGGACGATCGATGGGATGGGGAAGCAAAGAGCGCAAGGCTGTGTCGGCACGGAGACCCGGTCGGATCGATGAGTGAGAAGATACGAGCGGCATCATCGCACGCGCAACGAGGCGCGTCCAGAGAGACAGAAAGGTGTATCAATCGGCATATCTTTTGAATAGGTGCTGTCAAAGTTAGGCTGCGACCAGGGCTCCATGATCTCGGACCTTGAACGTGTTGGCTGGCTGGCTGGATGTGGAGCAGTGCAGAGGGGGGCAAGCGTCCGGCAGACTTTCTCCTCGGATATCATCAGCAAAGCCCTTCCTTGTAAGTCAAGTAACAAAGCTTGAACTGGAACTCAGCTAGTAGTTCTCCGAATAGTTTCGACCAGCGGCCCACCATTCCATGCATGCACTGGCAGTCGGTCCAATGTCAGATACCGCGGGCTTGTTCGCTGAAGGCGCTCGACCGACGCTTCGCTGCTGTACTGCACAAGTCTCCCCGTCTGGACGGTCACGGACCGGGCCACCACCTGTGCCAGGCTGAGGAAGAATCGAAGCAAGAATCGAAAGGATGACGTGAGAAGAAAAAAAAGATCGATCACCACGTGTTTCTTCCATCACTTTCCTCCTCCGGTCATCACCGCACCCCCATGCACGCCTCCCTCATCCGCCGCTCCCTCGGCGGCCTTGTCCCGCCCCAAAATCGCCACCCCCCAAGCTCGTTGTGCGTCCCCTACCCACTCCCCCTCCGCTCTGTCGACTGACACGTCACCAGTCGGGGGACTCCGCTGGCCCGCTCGGTCCCCTTGTGTCGTTCTACTCCAAGCTCCCGAAGGGCCGCGCGCCGGCGCCTGCGGTGGCGGGAGTCAAGGGGCGCTTGTTCAGTGGGAAGAACGCCAGCGCGAAGCCGGTACTGGCGCTCATTGGCGGGCTGTGGCTGGTGGGGTATACGTTGGACTACCAACGTGCGTGCTATGGTCCCTCCTCGACGACGGTGATGCTGACCTACTCTCTCCTTCCTCCACCCTCCTTTCAACCACTCGTTTCCTTCTCCCCAGTCCATCTCAGTGCGTGTGCCGTTCTTTCCTGCTTCCCCCGCTTATTCTCGCTAGAGCACAAGAACAACGCGCACTAGACGTTGTGCCGCGTGTCGTTTTAATCCAAGGTCCTGAAGGGCTGCGCGCCGGCGCCGGCGAACGCGGGGATCAATAAACGCTGGTTCAGTGGAAAGAATGCCTGCGCTGTCTCCCCTGCACCCTGTCGTTGAAGCTGCCTCGACCCCTTCCGCCTGCGCGCACACAAACGGCGCTCTACATTCAAGTGTCATCTATCCAGTCGATGTCCAGTCCCATCCACTCCTCTCGCTCACCCTCAACCCTGTCCCACCCTCCTCCTCGATCGATACCGTCTGCGGTCAGCAACGCATGTGCCAACGGACATCTCGCGAGGTACTCCTGGCTCTGCCGCCATCACCAACCGTACGGAGTGCCAGTGACGAGCGTGGCGGCGCATGGGTGAAGGAACTTGCAGAGGATGGTACTCATGCCCCTGCCGCGTCAGGTTAGGCCGAGGGACAGCCGCAGTAGGCAGCAGCTAGAACCCGGCGATTGCCTCTATTCTTTAAACTGCCCAACTCCTGTCGTCGTCCGATCGACAGAGTCACGGTGTTTGCTGCACTCTTGTCAGGCCTTGTACGACGTCGAGTCGCGCGAGAACTCGTTCTCGCGATCGGGATGTGGGACGAGGTCCACAGCTGCGGTGCAGCAATGGCGAAGGATCGGAGACGCAGCGTGGTCGGCGAGGCATCGGCCTTGAATCGGCGCGCTCGTGGCTGTCGCCGCCTCTCGGCGGAAGGTTCGCCGATTTGAGCTTGTTTGGCGACATGTCGGCGGCCGGAATTCGGGGTCGACGCGCAGTGACAGTGGGGACGGACGGTCTACACTCCAGACCCACGACACCGACACCATCATTTTCGCCATCGACAACAACCAGTCCACCCTGCTTGGCATCCAGCCCGCCACGCGGCCTCCACCCTATCCTCATCCAACCGATTCCACACATCGCACTCGCCACGCCAGGTCTGGACGCTTCTTTCCCCTCCCACCCTCACTGCGCTAGCATCGGCCATCCCACGCTCGCTCCCACCTCCAACGCCTTCGCCCAATCCAGACACCTCCGTCTCGCTCCTCCCCTCTACTGTGACTCTGCCCACTCCAACACTATCATCCGTGCCGTCGTCGCCCCGTCCGTTGCCGCCGTACACACCCGGCCTGCCCAGAAAAACGAGATTTCCGCTGCCGCCACAAACGAGACAGATATCCACCGCCGACACCCCCTGCCGAGGGTACTCCGGAGCAAAACAAGTCAGAAGGCGTAGAGCCCATCTTATTCTACAGTAAACCTCTACTGCTTTGGCTTTTCCCTCAATGACACTCATCATATTCCAGTCCAAGCCCACACAGCACATGCGGCCACCTCCCCGTTGAGCTTGACCTCGAGCTGGTCGACATCGTCGCGGTCACGGCCACGGCCACGCCCGCCGACAGGTGGTGGGCCGGTGCACTCTTGGACGAGAGAAGAAAGGAGGAGGGGAGAAGGGTGTTCCCGGAGCTGTTTTGAGTAGAGATATGATGGCCCAAGCAGAACGGTGCACAACACGACGTTGAAGGATACAGTATGCGCATTGATTGATATCAGAGACGCGACAACAGGGATTTTGGTCTTACTACCTAGTCACCCATCGTCGCCGCCTACATTTACAGACATATCATCTCCTATTCATTGCCAATGTATTTCACCACTCGTCATCGTCACCCGAATCGAAGGAGTCCTCATCACCCGAATCGAAGGAGCCCTCATCAGGTATTTCAGGGCCAAGTGTGAGTGTCCATAGATTGTAATTGTCAGAGGGTTCCAGCGTATAAAACCGTAGTGCATTGATTTCACCAAGGTAATCCAGAACGTGTATCTCTTCACGTTCATTACTCTCTGGATCCTTCATCTTACTCTCTGGATTCTTCCATATCTTCGTATCGTAAAGACGGTGATGCGCCTCCACCACCAATCCTGCTATGGTCGGCTGACTCTGGGGAGAGGGGACATCATTGGGAGGCATGTCCTCACTAGTACTGGCAGGCTGTGCCAGTGGTGGTATCCTCATAATACCTCGCGACTGTTTGATCTGTACAATTCGTAGATCGGCCCCCTCGAGCATCTCCAATCCACAGCCCGGCATTGGGGTGGTGAGGACTTTCTTTCCAAGTAACATCTCCAGGTCCCTCCCGAAGTCGATCGGTAGGCTGCCCATGTACAGCTTACCACGCAAGGGCAACAGTTGGGTGGATAGTGGAACCGTCACGGTTGCCAGTGGAGCATTCAAAGCGCCCATGGTCGGAAACTCTATAGGGACCAATGCTTGTCCTGCGTTCGCAATATTACTGTTTAAATTTAGCACCTGATGAGTCGTACACTGCAGCTGGAATAAGGCTCACTTCGAATCCGAGTCATTGGTATCTGCAGTAGGCTGGGCTATTAGGGAGGACATCTGATCCTGAGGGAAGGTATAAGGAGAGTGCCACTCCACCAACGGCGGCCCTTATATAGTGCTCAAGTGAGTCACTGTGACACTGATGATGATAGTGAGTCACTCAGCAGTCTGACTCGGGGCTGACTCCACCACCAACGAGGCAATAGAATCGAACGGCGTTTGGTTGTCTGGTCACACGCCACCATTGCAGTGTACTCATTACGCGTACAAAAGTCATACAATAAACACGGTTGGGATCTAGATTCCTATCCTGATTGGGCTGAGGGAGTCATCTTGGAGACATCTGTGTGGGAGGGATAACAAAATCAGTGGGAGTGGGACTCGCATCACGATCAGGTTCGCTTAAGTGGGATTGATGCCCTTGGGCTTGACCCAGCGTGACGCGGCACTGATTCACTTGCCACTGCGGCGGTGCCCTAGCGCCATGCTGTTGTTTAGAGAGATACACCTGCGGGGAGAATACTAGTACATGCGTCTCTTGTCCGCAGAGCACCACACGGGGCGCCCGGCCAGCAGCATGAACTCCCGCGAGCGCTGAGAACGAGGTTAGTGCCAGAAGGAGGCGGGACTGGTGTGGTAACTTGCCTCAGTCTGCACCGTTGACATGCGGACCCATGCGCGCACTTTGTCGAGAACTGGGTCAAGAAGGCGCAGATCGGGGCGCGTGGACGGTGGTGGAGGAAGAGCGGCCATGAAATCGAGGTAGAGCTGGCGCTCACGGCCGACAGCTGGCTAGAAGAATCCTCAGTCATTACAATGGTCAGCCAAATATTGGAAGCACTTACGATCCTTTGGTCTTCGTGCGCCGCCTGGTCAGCATAAGCGGAAGAGTTTAACGGTGCAGCTAGTCCAACACACCAACAACTTGTTTTCCCCGCGAAGCGTGCTGGTTGTTTGGGCCAGCCGGTTGTACATGACATGTATCCCTTCCAGCGCAGCAGAAAGTTCGCTGGCGATATCGTCATGGTCTCAGCACCCGGGCCGCATCTCGCAGGGAACGTAACAACGCACCGATTTCAATCCAGCGTTGTCTTCCAGCGAGTCCTGAAGCCGCTCCCGCAAGCTGGCCACTGTCACAGCTCCGAGTCCTTCCCCCCGCATTCGGTTGTCCTTACCAGGCTTTTCAAGTTTGGACTGTCCGTCGTTCTGCAAGTCCGCGTCAGCATCTGTCTCGTTCGGCAGTCAAAAGCAAAACGCACCTCGCGCATATCCTCGCCGCGCCGCACATCGTTCCGCAACTCCCCGAGGGCTCGCTTGCTGATTCGCGTCTCGCCCGTGTCGACTCGCCGAGCGTCCGGCGTCTGAAACTGAAAGGGGGGCCGTCAAGAAGTACACAGGAGTCACTCAGCAAGAAACGCACCTCGCTCAAACGATGCTCGAGCGGGAGTTCGTCTTGTGGACGCGTCGGCAAGCGCGCGGGGCCTGGCGGGGTGTTTTCCATTGCTTGGCGTGGAATGTAGTCGGAGTAGGCGATGGAAACTCGAGCAAGGTGTAGCCGGCGGGAGGTCGTCAAGACTCTGTAGCCGAAGAAGCAGCAGCTCGAGTTGTACAGGTGAGGAAGAAGGTGACGCGAAGAAGATGGAAGAGCGGAGGAAAGAAGGACGCGTGATTGCCGGCGAGGATCACGTTTCGTCAGTGTGCTGTGCTGTCACGCGTAACGGCATCATCGCATGTCTCTTCCGCTCAATTCCGCTGGCCACGTCGACGACTCAAACCCGAGAGGACACAGCCAACGCTCCTCGGAACACGATGTGGGGGGATCCCGTGGGTGCAGGTTGGCAGAGGAAATGCATGACGACCGACTGCAAACTGCTGTGAAGCTCTAACACCCGGATATGGACCATATGGTGCGTGTACTCGTCCTGCCTGCACCGTAATCATACGCAAACAGCGCAAAGATACTCTTTGCTGCCAACGCCAGCTCTCCGCAAACAACGATTCACAGACCCTCCATGCTTTGTCTCCGGCAAGCTGACATTATCCCCACCTCTCACATACCCCCATCGGCTCCAACACTCTATCTCCCTCACCCAAACAACAACGCGCCGAGGCTCGTGCGAGCTTGTCCTCTCTGGCATACGCGAACTCACCCCTTCCGCGCACGGAGATGGCGTCCTGCTGCCAAGTGCATCCCTTCCGCTGAATCCGCTCACATTGACCCCCCGCTTCCGATTCCACCACGGGCCGTTCCACTTACAGTAGTCTTGCGACTGGCCCGCCCGCCGCTGGCTCCTCTTTCCGCCGGCGGTAGCACAAGCAGAGTGCTTCGATACCAACTTTAACCCTTGCTGCCGCACCCTCTCCCATCGCAAACGCCGAATGAATTACACACACCGATTCTCTGCCCGCCGGCACTGTGACTGGTCGACGACACTGCATGGCATGCGGCACTATATCACTTCCCCGGTGTGGTCCCCTAGGTGGAGAACAGAGCCACGCGAAATGGGCTGGATACCCGGCTCGACAGTGATTGGCAGCGGTGGATGTGACAACGGAAGGGGTGTCGACCAAATTTGTTGTGTGTACGCGTGTGATTTTAAATCTCACTCCGTTGTTTGCCCCGGAGAAAGAACAATAAACTGTCGATTCCCGTTGATGCCCCACAAACTCCCAGCTTGTCCTGAACCGCCATGAGCGGACACCTTACGGTCCTTACCGTCTCGTACATGCTCACAGGAGGATCGAAGGCTCCCTGCGATCGAAAGACGGTGCCAGTGCACCTGGCGCCAATGGCAAGTAGTGCTGATTGTGGGTGTACTCTTACGGTGAGTCCGGCCCGTGTAAATCTGCGCACTGGTAACTCACCACCATGACTCCTCGTCAGCTTTCACATATTTCATCCCATCACTGGAGTCCTGAATGCTGTGTTAGTTCACACTGGCACATCCTCGGACTTCTTGACTGATGGGGACAACCTTGCCAGTGAACTCTTCTGCATTTGACGTCGTGCAAGTCGTTCATATAGGATTTTCTTCTTATGCCATTTCATTTGGCCACTGACAGTCCTAGTGTGCCTTCAAGACAAACAACACAAGACGATGTCCTGAGAGCTTTGGAGATGAGTGGCGCCACGAAGTGTACTGTGTGTGTGGGCTCTATAGGTGCGTCGCAGTCATGTATAATGACTGGGTTGACAGTCATTGGAATATTCTAGGTTTCTGTTGTGTGGCCACCTAAGACGGTGTTTATGTTGGCCACAGTGGAGTCATCTCGTGGGTTTTTAAGCCATTCGCGATCGACAGCGGCGTTTGAATCCCAACATCTCCCTGCGTACAGTACCAGCTCAATGTGGTCTAAGCCTGCTGCTCCCAGCATTTCCCTCGCTGTGGCGCACCCAGCCGATACTTGTTCCGCATCCGCCAAAGAAGGATGTGCTGCTCAAGCCCTGTCCCCAGGGCATATTCCAGTGGCGCCGTTTCAAATTGACCATTGTGTGCCAGCGGCCACGGCTCCATCCTCCGACTCTAAGCCCGGGCTGGATGTGGAATGTGTCCGGCATACCATTCTCTCCGCACTTCAAGAGATGGGATTATCTGTCTTAGCTGCCAGTGACACCAAGTTCCTGCTTGATGTGGCGCTTAGCAAGGTTGGTTGGTTGTAATACTTATGTGCTTGCTCTGTCTTCTTGCTGAGACAAGGCTAGCTCAAGGAGTTTTGTCATTTCAAGATTGACACCAACTTGGCATTGTCTCTTTCTTACCCTGAAGATTCCACTCCGATATATGACCTCTTGAACAATATCCATCAATATTTCCAAGCTTTGTCCTCTCATTTCTGGTAAATCATTTCAGAGCACTTTCTCTATATCCAACTGACTGAGGGTCCAGAGAGCACAAAATCCCACTTGAACAAAGTGGTAGATAATATGTCACTGCAAATGAGTCAAAAGGTGTTGGCTACAGGTCAAATACTAAAATATCATAAACTTGACCAAAAGCCAGCAGAGGAAACCCCAGTTGAGCCATATTCTCCTAAAGATTCTGCAGTCATGTTCTTTGGTGAAGAGATTATGGTCAGTGCATCATTACCTTGCAGGCTTCTTTACTAGATCTGACAGAAACCAACGGAACCAAACTATTCATGGCAGGAGATATAACATGTTGAAACTTGTATTGGAGGAGGGGAAGTATGCCAGATCTTCTTGCTTTGATTACACATCCTTTCACTTCTCTCCTGTAGCCTGTGACCATGCTTGAAATACTTGACTTACATATTCATAGTCACATCGTACTGTACTATTCACAGCTGCGTTTCAAAGATGTTGAGGGCGGAAACGTTAGTGGGAAGAGGCAAAGTTTTTTAACCCATGTTTTCATCATACAAACTGGAGCAAAAAGGCAAAGTTTTCAGGGGAGAAAAATTTATTGGACAAAGTAAAATTTACAAATAGGTATTTTGGCGCTACAAATGGCAAGTATTACTACAAATGTTCTTTAGCTACAAAGTCATCTAAAACATGAGGCTTTTCTACAAGTTCTGAGAACTGTAAGGGCAACCCCGGAGGCCTAAGATCAAGGTCTAGCAGGAGAGGATCCAAAGCGTGAACATTGGTCAGCAAATACAAATGAAGCTGACCTAGCAGGGGAGGATCCAAAGAGAAGAAACTCTAAGGGTCCGCCTGCTAGGGAGCTGACTATATACTGCTTGTCCGTAGCTGCCGCTGTCGGGCACAGAAGGCTTGGGCGGCGTCGCAGGCCAGGTCCCAGGGCGACCGTTGGGAGGGCATTGACGGATCGGTGATTGTGCGGGCGAGATGGAGGGCCAGACCGGAGTCGGAACTGGAATCGGACCGGAATCGGAGGCGTCTCCGAGGGGCAGAAAGAGAGGTTCCCCTGACAAGAACGAGGGAAAATGTATTCTAAAAGGGAAGTATTGGAATGAGTTTTTCTGCTCAAAAAGCTCAAGTGTTTTGACTCGTTTTTTGACCTGATTAATGAAAAAAAAACATCTCAGATTTAGATGCGTTTTTTGACCTGGAGAATGTCGAGTATTGTAATATGTTTTCCGAGCCGGAAAACTTTAGATACTTGAACAGGAAAACAACAAGTTTTTTGGGCCAAATGTGGTGAAATAAAAACTTCAAGTTTTTCCAAGGGAGGGTGATTTCTCCCGAGAGCGCCCAAAATCGCGTGAAAAGCGCTTGATTACATTCATTCATACATAAACGCGGCAGACTGGGGCATCTATGCCCTCCAACATGAGCTCTACCCCCTCAATACACCAACTCAGCCCCCCACAATCAGCAAACCCAAAGAGTTCTTGATGTTTTTTGCAGCACCTTTGACACGGCACCCGGCGCAGCCATGCCGGATGAAACCACTGATACACGATCTTTTCTGAACCCCAGATCAGCGCCGGACCCAGCGGCAAAGCCTGATGGTGTACCGAACCGCTTCAGCGCGTCGACCGCCCATATAGCTTCCCAGCGGCGCGAACGGCACCGCCTCCCACTCCCCCAACCGCTTTTTGTACCGGGTTGTGTACCCTGTCTTGAAGGCGATGCGCCCATTGTCGAGGACTACCTCCAAAGCGTAGATGTAGCTGAGTTTCAGGTCATTGACGTATATATATTGGTGCCCAATTGTCTGTGTGCCATTGTAAATGGCCTCTTTGAATTTGGATTCGAGTTGGACCCATTCGGCCTGGGTCGTGGGAGCGGGGTATGCCGAGAGGACCAGACAAGCGATGAAACATGTTTGTAGGTCGAGCATATGGTATTGGATGAGGTCTGCAGCGCAGGGGCGCGCCCACAAACTCGATGGCATGAAGGGATAAAGTGGTGCTTGGTGTGACGATGGCGGTGAAGGTCACATTAAGCGCGAGAGCAGTGGTAACAATGGGTGACGACGAACATGCTGGACACGTCGGTCAACGGCGGGAGTGAGGAGCGGGTGGGCGGGTGAATTGGGAACGGATGGACAGCCCGGTGACCGGCTAATTCATGCCGAATCCTCAAACGGGGCGCAAGTGGGCCAACCGAATGAGCAGGTGTAGATAGCCCGACGGCCCGGTTGCCGGATAAGGCCCGGAGCTTGGCAGGGGTGCTTTTGGCACGCTGAGCAGCGCTGGAATGGCCATGCCAGCTTATGAGGGGAGCAGAGGGATTGGCTGGCCTGTTGATGATGTCCGCACCAATGAAAACCAGGGCTAGGGGGGATTTGCGGGTGGGGGGTGTATCGATTGGTGGTTGGAGAAGACATGACGTGAATGGATTGGTGTTTGTCGGCGGCCTTGTCTGAGATCACTAGTATCAGTTAGCATACCATAATACACCACCTGTTTAGCCCACAAAACACTCTGAGTTATCAGTGGCAACCCGCCGGGGTGCCATTGACAAGGCTCAGTATTTTCAGAATATGCACTGAGGTGAATAATTGTTAGGGAGAGGGGGTGAATAAAGTCGAACTATAAGGCAAAATTTGTACCAAGTCCAAAATGTAGGGGGTCAATAAAGGTAAATAATACAATGTAGGCTATTCAGACTAAGTCTCCCAGAGTCACACCATGTGATGGGTGACACAGCATCCCAAAAAGGAACTTTGTTGATAGATGTTGAGTTGGTAGTTTTAGTGACTATGTCATATGGTTATAATATAGAGCAATATATATGATAAATTTCCAAAAAAAAAAGGAAATTTCCATAATCATTAAAGAATGTCACAAATTGTCACAAAATGACAGTTCTCTATTTTGACTACACAGACAACTTTTATCAAGTAATGTATAGTGGCAGCTCTATAGCAGTATTGGAACTGTCTAATCACTAGCCGATGTCCAACTAATAAGCTTCTATCTCTATAACCACTTGATCTGTATCCATGATGTGAGTACCACCAGGAAGGCCTTTCAGAGTATCATTACCTCAATATGGTATTTTAATCACCATCATATAATATATATATATATCCACTCTACCCACTATTCACACAAAGGAGGATATTTGGGTGCTCAAAGAGGTGCAAACAAGACCGCCTTGTGTTGCCTTTCAAGGAGTGGTAAACAAAGAGAGTAGGCATGTGGTCATGCATTGGGCACAACCCAAAGTGTGACAATGCCCCCATTCAAGGGCAGCGTCTCAATATGTACCATGTGAGCACGTCAGAGGTGTGTCTGACTGGCGCCCCTGGGATGCTCTGACCCATCCTGACTATTGCCCGCAGCCTCTTTCACCTGCATAATCACCAATCTGTCATGACCCTCACAACAATCACCTTGGGACAGAGCCTGTGACACTGCTCAGGCTTTTTGTGCTCTAGGTCAGCAGGTGCATACAACCAGTATACAGTTGGCACCCTAGCAGGTGGACCCTTACAAATTTGTGTATTACTTATCAGCTCAAGTTCAAGTTAACAGGACCACATCAACAAAGACTTCTCATATACTATGCTATCCAACGAATCTTTGGAAAAACCTTTTGTGGATCTGAACATCTTGCTCTCCATGCTGCATGAGATTCCTTACTCTCTAGACCCCGGTGTGTTTTGACCACATAAACATAGTTCTCCCAAGCCTCCTCCTCTTCCTCTTGAGGGATCCTGCCAAAAGGATATTGATGTGCCAGGTCATCTGTCCAGCCATTCTCATGAGATATGAAATAATCATCAAGATAAGGGGTTGTAATCGAAATTTCAGTGATAGGAGGTAAGCTATCACCTAAGGAGATTGTTTCAACATTGCCTAGTCAAAGAAGATAACATACGTGGAGCATGCTGGGGCAAATTAACTACTTGACGACATACAACACACCGTTCATTCATGGCAGGGATATCCTCTGTGATCATTTCTGTGTGTCTAAAATCGGGAGCAATATAGAGTTCCTCCCGATGATATGTGGGGCACTGATGAACAGGATGTCCATCATCAACCCATGCATGATGGGAGAATACAAATGTGTCATGAGATATATTCTGTCGGAATCGAGATATCTGTGCATGTAAGCCATTTTTTATATCTTCAAAAGACCACGATGGTTGGGTACAAGCCCATTCAATGGTTCTCCTGAGACCCGCACGGGGAAGTAGCCTGCTTGGTGGAAATCTGGGCTTGAATAATTTCTTTGAAAAAAGGTAGCCTTGGAAGTACTCGAATCGGATACCATCCTTTGCCATGCAGTCACCTGAGATATGTAGGTGTGGCTACTGCTGAATTACCAAGCACATACCATATACTTCAGCATGTGCTTGTTGAAAACGACGATGAACGTCCCGCCCTGGACGACGGTGTTCTTGCTTTTCGCGAAGAATGAGCTCTTGAGGCCGCTGCTGGGCGTGCGTCAGGGAAATCAGCCCGCATCCGTGTTATCGAGGTTCGACGTACAAGAACGAACGCCGGACGACGACCTCCGCCGGCGCCCGGCTCGCCCGGGTCGTGCACTTGCACTTGCTTGGGGTCGCTGGTGGTAGAAGACATTGCTAGTGAAGATCTTGCTAGTGCGCAGGGGACGATCGATGGGATGGGGAAGCAAAGAGCGCAAGGCTGTGTCGGCACGGAGACCCGGTCGGATCGATGAGTGAGAAGATACGAAGCGGCATCATCGCACGCGCAGGAGGCGCGTCCAGAGAGACAGAAAGGTGTATCAATCGGCATATCTTTTGAATAGGTGCTGTCAAAGTTAGGCTGCGACCAGGGCTCCATGATCTCGGACCTTGAACGTGTTGGCTGGCTGGCTGGATGTGGAGCAGTGCAGAGGGGGGCAAGCGTCCGGCAGACTTTCTCCTCGGATATCATCAGCAAAGCCCTTCCTTGTAAGTCAAGTAACAAAGCTTGAACTGGAACTCAGCTAGTAGTTCTCCGAATAGTTTCGACCAGCGGCCCACCATTCCATGCATGCACTGGCAGTCGGTCCAATGTCAGATACCGCGGGCTTGTTCGCTGAAGGCGCTCGACCGACGCTTCGCTGCTGTACTGCACAAGTCTCCCCGTCTGGACGGTCACGGACCGGGCCACCACCTGTGCCAGGCTGAGGAAGAATCGAAGCAAGAATCGAAAGGATGACGTGAGAAGAAAAAAAAGATCGATCACCACGTGTTTCTTCCATCACTTTCCTCCTCCGGTCATCACCGCACCCCCATGCACGCCTCCCTCATCCGCCGCTCCCTCGGCGGCCTTGTCCCGCCCAAAATCGCCACCCCCAAGCTCGTTGTGCGTCCCCTACCCACTCCCCCTCCGCTCTGTCGACTGACACGTCACCAGTCGGGGGACTCCGCTGGCCCGCTCGGTCCCCTTGTGTCGTTCTACTCCAAGCTCCCGAAGGGCCGCGCGCCGGCGCCTGCGGTGGCGGGAGTCAAGGGGCGCTTGTTCAGTGGGAAGAACGCCAGCGCGAAGCCGGTACTGGCGCTCATTGGCGGGCTGTGGCTGGTGGGGTATACATTGGACTACCAACGTGCGTGCTATGGTCCCTCCTCAACGACGGTGATGCTGACCTACTCTCTCCTTCCTCCACCCTCTTTTCAACCACTCTTCTCCCTCTCCCCAGTCCATCTCAGTGCGTGTGCCGTTCTTTCCTGCTTCCCCCGCTTATTCTCGCTAGAGCACAAGAACAACGCGCACTAGACGTTGTGCCGCCGCGTGTCGTTTTAATCCAAGGTCCTGAAGGGCTGCGCGCCGGCGCCGGCGAACGCGGGGATCAATAAACGCTGGTTCAGTGGAAAGAATGCCTGCGCTGTCTCCCCTGCACCCTGTCGTTGAAGCTGCCTCGACCCCTTCCGCCCTGCGCGCACACAAACGGGCGCTCTACATTCAAGTGTCATCTATCCAGTCGATGTCCAGTCCCATCCACTCCTCTCGCTCACCCTCAACCCTGTCCCACCCTCCTCCTCGATCGATACCGTCTGCGGTCAGCAACGCATGTGCCAACGGACATCTCGCGAGGTACTCCTGGCTCTGCCGCCATCACCAACCGTACGGAGTGCCAGTGACGAGCGTGGCGGCGCATGGGTGAAGGAACTTGCAGAGGATGGTACTCATGCCCCTGCCGCGTCGGGTTAGGCCGAGGGACAGCCGCAGTAGGCAGCAGCTAGAACCCGGCGATTGCCTCTATTCTTTAAACTGCCCAACTCCTGTCGTCGTCCGATCGACAGAGTCACGGTGTTTGCTGCACTCTTGTCAGGCCTTGTACGACGTCGAGTCGCGCGAGAACTCGTTCTCGCGATCGGGATGTGGGACGAGGTCCACAGCTGCGGTGCAGCAATGGCGAAGGATCGGAGACGCAGCGTGGTCGGCGAGGCATCGGCCTTGAATCGGCGCGCTCGTGGCTGTCGCCGCCTCTCGGCGGAAGGTTCGCCGATTTGAGCTTGTTCGGCGACATGTCGGCGGCCGGAATTCGGGGTCGACGCGCAGTGACAGTGGGGACGGGCGGTCTACACTCCAGACCTACGACACCGACACCATCATTTTTGCCATCAACAACAACCAGTCCACCCTGCTTGGCATCCAGCCCGCCACGCGGCCTCCACCCTATCCTCATCCAACCGATTCCACACATCGCACTCGCCACGCCAGGTCTGGACGCTTCTTTCCCCTCCCACTCTCACTGCGCTAGCATCGGCCATCCCACGCTCGCTCCCACCTCCAACGCCTTCGCCCAATCCAGACACCTCCGTCTCGCTCCTCCCCTCTACTGTGACTCTGCCCACTCCAACACTATCATCCGTGCCGTCGTCGCCCCGTCCGTTGCCGCCGTACACACCCGGCCTGCCCAGAAAAACGAGATTTCCGCTGCCGCCACAAACGAGACAGATATCCACCGCCGACACCCCCTGCCGAGGGTACTCCCGGAGCAAAACAAGTCAGAAGGCGTAGAGCCCATCTTATTCTACAGTAAACCTCTACTGCTTTGGCTTTTCCCTCAATGACACTCATCATATTCCAGTCCAAGCCCACACAGCACATGCGGCCACCTCCCCGTTGAGCTTGACCTCGAGCTGGTCGACATCGTCGCGGTCACGGCCACGGCCACGCCCGCCGACAGGTGGTGGGCCGGTGCACTCTTGGACGAGAGAAGAAAGGAGGAGGGGAGAAGGGTGTTCCCGGAGCTGTTTTGAGTAGAGATATGATGGCCCAAGCAGAACGGTGCATAACACGATGTTGAAGGATACAGTATGCGCATTGATTGATATCAGAGACGCGACAACAGGGATTTTGGTCTTACTACCCAGTCACCCATCGTCGCCGCCTACATTTACAAACATATCATCTCCTATTCATTGCCAATGTATTTCACCACTCGTCATCGTCACCCGAATCGAAGGAGTCCTCATCACCCGAATCGAAGGAGCCCTCATCAGGTATTTCAGGGCCAAGTGTGAGTGTCCATAGATTGTAATTGTCAGAGGGTTCCAGCGTATAAAACCGTAGTGCATTGATTTCACCAAGGTAATCCAGAACGTGTATCTCTTCACGTTCATTACTCTCTGGATCCTTCATCTTACTCTCTGGATTCTTCCATATCTTCGTATCGTAAAGACGGTGATGCGCCTCCACCACCAATCCTGCTATGGTCGGCTGACTCTGGGGAGAGGGGACATCATTGGGAGGCATGTCCTCACTAGTACTGGCAGGCTGTGCCAGTGGTGGTATCCTCATAATGCCTCGCGACTGTTTGATCTGTACAATTCGTAGATCGGCCCCCTCGAGCGTCTCCAATCCACAGCCCGGCATTGGGGTGGTGAGGACTTTCTTTCCAAGTAACATCTCCAGGTCCCTCCCGAAGTCGATCGGTAGGCTGCCCATGTACAGCTTACCACGCAAGGGCAACAGTTGGGTGGATAGTGGGACCGTCACGGTTGCCAGTGGAGCATTCAAAGCGCCCATGGTCGGAACCTCCATAGGGACCAATGCTTGTCCTGCGTTCGCAATAGTACTGTTTAAATTTAGCGCCTGATGAGTCGTACACTGCAGCTAGAATAAGGCTCACTTCGAATCCGAGTCATTGGTATCTGCAGTAGGCTGGGCTGTTAGGGAGGACATCTTACTCTGAGGGAAGGTATAAGGAGAGTGCCACTCCACCAACGGTAGCCCTTATATAGTGCTCAAGTGAGTCTAGTGCTGGCCAGAATTATATTATGGCTGATTAAATATTGAATATATTCAGAATATTATGATTATATTATGCCTTTGGTCGGTTTCCTGATTATGATTATGTTTGAATATAATATGATATGTTATGACTATAATATATTATGAGTCGTACATATTCAATTATACTGAGTTTGAATATTTCACAAGTGCAGTTGTCGGCCGAGAAAATTTCGGGTTGAAGGATGGAGTGTGATTGGTGGCTTCTGCCGAAAATCACGTGTGCCATCACATCTGCCAGCGCAACACCCATCCATCTCGACATGGCAGAATCTCTCGAGGCCAGCCTCTCGGAGCTTGAGACATCCATTGCAAACCTTGGCGAGCATACCCACTCCGGCCGTCGAGATGCTCCGCTGGGGAAACATCTGGCACCGGCTACCGACAATGCTGGCAATCTGACCTATCCCACCCACGAGGAAGGAGCCTACCACGCTTTCAACCAAGGATGGGAACGCGCATTCAACAAGAAGCCAGGGGAAGCACAATCAGCCCTCCATGGTCTCATCACCCGTGGCCGGCACGGAACTATTCTTGCACACCAGTGGGCGAAGCATTATGCCAAAGAAGTCAAGCTCGATGAGAAGCCACTTATCGAGCTGCGTGTGAAGCAGCTCATTGCCCTCATATCTGAAGCGTATGTATTCATTTCTTTGGACTTCGAAGTAACACCACACTGACAAGACTTCAGAGCCGCCGCAAAACCAAGTCCTCACACAACCAAGCATTCCTCTGCAGCTGGGAGTAACAATGAGTCGGTCAAAACCGTGACGGTGCGTGCATAGATGCCAGCAATGACAATATATGTGCTCAAAACTTGTTCCAGACCTCGAAACCGAAGGCACAGCTTAGCACTGCTGAGCTTCAAAAACGGGCCAAGGCTGCGGCTGCGACAAAGGCCAAGAACAAGACAACGAAGAAGCCGAGGACCAAGGTGCGTTGTTTTCTATTTAACGTTCCCCTTGTTCATGAAATGGACAATAGCCTACCGAAAAGTCCCCGATACACGCAAATATACCGGAACGGCCGTCGAATGAGGAACCGATTGAAATTCCGTCGGATGTATGCCTACTTATGTCTCTTTTTTGTCTACTAACACAGAAATAGAGCGAGCCGCCATCTAACACATCCGAGAGTAGCTCTGAATCCTCAGACGCCGAGACGGTGCCCAAAACGCGAGTTATCCCAGACAAGCTTCGATGGGCTCTCACTCAGTACTCGAAGGCGGTGAAATGGAAGAGCACCAAGGCACGAATGGCCAATGCGAATGGCCTCCTTTGGAAACTTACATGCCGCAACTGCAACAAGTGCGGATGCTCTTCTCGTCGGTCAATACTAGTACTAACGCGCTTTCAAGAATTTTTCGAACAACACCACGAAGCGAAGGCGTTGACGACTTCGCCAAGGAGAAATTGAAGATCAAGGGCTCGAGCAACTTCATTTCCCATGCGGAGGACTGCGCGAATCGACCCGAATCACAATCATTCGAGAAATTCCAAGAGGGGGAGGAGCGTGCTCGCAAGGGACTCCCTCCGCTGGCTGGAGACAATGGTCCGACACCACAGGAGCGTCGGGAGGAGTTCATGGAGGATTTTGTTCGGCGTGGCATCGAAAATCCAGCAAAATCCATTACCAAACGTGGTTATCGACAATTCTTGGTAGAAGCGGTTGTCCAAGATGATCACCCGTTCAGTTTCGCAGAGAGCGGCGGCACGTTACGCCTTCTGGACTATCTGACACCAAGACATGTCGAGGCTCGTATTCCACACCAAACTGTTCGACGAGACATTGCTGTCCTATACAAGGTCCTCAAGGCGAAATTAGCTCGAATGATTCAGGTATGGATTGAGTCTCAGTGTATCCATATGGGCTAAGTGCTTTCAGGATAACGATTCGAAGTTCAGCATTGCGAGCGACATTGTGACAACGAAAGGCATGGCTCACGCATTTTGTGGCGTTGTCATCTCGTACATCGACCATGAATTCAAGCTCCATGAATATGTGCTTGACCTGATCCCTCTCGATGGCGACCATACGGGAAAGTCGACCGGCAAATTGGTCTTCAAGACATTGAAGAAGAATAAGATCGCAGATCGTCTAAGTGTGTTTCGCTTATCATTAACTGACTGCTTCCTGAACTCATTTTAGTGGCGAGTACAGCCGATAATGCTTCAAGTAATGGGCCGCTGAATACGACACTGTCTCGCAAATGTGCCGAGGTCAATACCGAAACTGCATCCGCACGGAACATGCAAATCGGTTGTGGGGCGCATGTTACCAACCTTGTCGCTCAGTACGATTCTCGTCAATTTGCTCCTCTAGTTTCTGACAACTGCGCAGGAAGATCACGGGCACTCTAGGCCTCACTCCGACGATTCAAGAAGTCGATTTATATGAGCAGACACGCCGATTTCCGTTGGTATATAATCCTGACACCGACCCCGATGTTGTTGCCCACACAAACGAGTTGAAGGAATTCTTCAAAGAGGGTAGAAAGAAAGGGAGCGGTGATAATGGCGAGAGTGGGTCGGAGTCAGATGAGAATATGGGCTCAGTAGACGGAAGTGAATCGGGGGATTCTGATGAGGAAGCTTCTGCCGATGCTTGCTTGTGGGTTGATGAGGACGATGATGAAATTGACGATTGGGTTGAGGCCGAAGTAGCTGATGAGGATGCTCCAGACCCAAAACGGAGAAAGAAGGACTCAACGATAAGCAGGAAAAAGAAAGCGAAAAAAGTATTCACCGTATGCGACAAGGTAAAGGGTGTGCTCCTTCGGAACCATATATTTGCTGACATCATTTCAGGTCCACGCAGTGGCCGTCTATGTGCTTCGCTCACCCATTCGTCGCTTCAAGGCTGCAAAAACTATCCGCAAGAAGGCCCCAAAGCAGTATCGTCACTTGACCTTT